TTTTTCATGAGATGTCTGATGCCAGTATGGTCTAATTTCTTTTTGTTTTTATGATTTTTGTCTCTTAAGTTTTATAACTTTCTCTAGTCTTGGTGTTTTGAAACTTCACAGTAATGCATCTAAAGTGATAGTACAGTATTTTATTATAGGTTCTCAGTGGTTCTCTATCAGTTTGTCCTTCAATTCTAGAGAATTTTATTTTTTTATGACTTTTACCTTCATTTTCTCCATCCTAATTTTGAAAAATTTAAACAACAGATTTCCTAGATAAATATCCTATGTCCCATATTTTTTGTTTATATTTTCTGTCTTTGGGGTGCTTTTTAATTGTGCCTTTGATTCACATGTAGTCAAAGTTTCTGGACTTTCTTGAGTTTTTATTTTGTTTGGTCAATCATGATGCTTTATTTCTGAATGAGATAAGATCTCAAGGGTATCTGTTTCTGGTTACTTCTGCAGCCTACTTCCTTCTCTAGCCTCAATTGCGTAAGTCTCAGTGCAGAAATTACTTGGCTCTTGATTTCATTTTGTTTCATGACAGGGACCGGGACCATTTATTCTGATGGCTCAGCTTGGCTAACTTCTACTGAGCTATTGACTCAACAGTCCCCGTTTGTCCTGTGACTCTTACTGTCCATTCATGTGTTTTCCTGGGACCATTATGGTTCAGGAGGGCAGCTATTATACCTCGGTCCCTGTGCAGGGCATGAATGTTCAGGTTTTTCACTCATTGGCCAATAATACTTATAGTTGCCATTTCAAGACAAGAAAATTCTTTTAGGTTTACAGGTCCAGCTGGAATGTTGTTGAATCCATAAATGTCACAGAGCGTTGACATTGCTCTGTGCGCAGGGACGTTGCTATGCTACATTATGTGCCATGGCTAGGGCCTAACTTCAGAGCATCCACCTCATGTTTTCCCCTTGAAAAAGGTCCACTGCACATAGTTTTTGCTATGGTTTCATGTCCCGTATGGTCAACCCCCAAATCAGTGACACCTCCAGGGATCTAGATCGGAACTGGTGTGCTGTTGATCTCCTTTAATTCTTTTTTTTTTTTTTTTTCTTGGTACTGGGGTTTGAACTTGGGACCTTGTGCTTGAGAGGCAGGTGGCGGCACCACTGAGCTAAATCCCCAGCCCTATCTCCTTTAATTCTTGAATAACCATCTTGTTACTCCTTTGATCCTTGGACAAGAGGACCAGTTATGCTGGTTCTATTCATTAAAAAAAAATTCTCGTTATTTATTATTGCTATTGTTTTCAATGTGTCTATATAATATACCATAAACATTAGAGTAAATATAATGAACTCATATCTTTTGCAGATTAATAATGAAACAACCACATACTTACTATCTAATTTAAGAACTAAATCTTCTCTTTCTAAATAAAACTATGCTGTAATTCTAAGGTGGCTTTCTGCCTCCCTTTGCTGAATTCAGAGGTTTGAGGTGGGGAGGATGGGCTTAGTGGCCCTGCTTTCTTTCTGACAAAAGAGAGAAAAGCACAAGTGTAGCATGGAGAGGGCACACTGAGTTATTTGTAACGAGTCCAGATGATTACACTTAGTGGCTGGTGTGGCAGTGTTGGTCTCCATTGACTTTTCCCAGCAAGTCAAGCACACTGTTAATTCATGTGGCGTGTCTGTGTGAATAAGAAACATACACTCTTACTATTTGTCAGAAATTCTTGAAATAACCATATGCACAAAAATCTGTAAGACTTTGACTGTACCAGTGCCCCTAGAGTTTACAGGCCACAACCTACGCAGTCATAATTCACGGTTGACAAGGCACGTGGCTGTAGAGAGCCTCTAGTGAGCATCACCATTTGTTGACTGCCTTCTGTGTACCAGGAACTGATTGAGATTCTTGTCATTTAGTGTTGAAATGGACAAGGTTCTTCGTGACTAGACTTGTGAGCAAGCTGCTTTTGGATTGTTTTTGACAGAACTGAACTAACAAGCTAAAGTTGTTCTTGCACGGAGTTAGGGGCCCTACAGTTAGTAGTAAAAGTTGACCAGGACATCAAATTACTTGACATGTTGTCCATGCCAAGCTAAATCCTGTCATGTGATGCTAAACTGATGCGTTTGGAGCTCATGTGGGATTCTTAAGTCCAGGGTGACCATATGTCCAAGTTCCAGCGCTTAAGTATCTCAGTCCCGTGTACACTTTTTCTTAAAATTGTCCCAGCTTTGCACAGTAAATTACATAGTCACCCATCTTAGTCAATTTTTTTTTTTTTTTTTTTTTTTTTTTTTT